TTGGCAGAAGAACTATCTGGAACGTTTCTGCCCGTAATGTATATTCATTCATTCAGGATTCACGGCTATAATCTTTGCAAGGTATGTCTTGCAGTTGTTTGTCGGAAAGAATGAGCAAAGTTACTCCAAAAAAACATTGCAGTGACCACATCTGTTCTTACCCACTTGCCTGCTGGTCTGGGGCCATGTCACCCTCCCACAGAGTGAAATGTTTGGTGTTTATGTTAGAGGAGTCAGGCCAGATCCATCAGCCCAAGAGAGGCGAGGCGGGTGCAACTCCACCCTCCCAGGTCCAACCGAAGGGAGGTCAAGTATGTAATCCCAGCCTAACCCAGCTCCTCCTGTTGTTTTGCCATTAGGGATGAACCATCCACTCCCCTCTCCCTGGCTCTCAGGGCACACCACCCTCTCACCTAGTACAGCTGATGACATTTAAGTCAGGACCTCCTCCTGTCTCTCCAGCCACTGTCACCCAGGCATGTGGACTCTCCAAGCCAGAGACTAGAGGCTGGCACAGACGCCCCCACACATGCATACATGCAAAATAGGGAGTCCTTCTCTCAGAAAAAAAGTTATAAAGGAATTCAATAAGAAAAGGGAATGGGCTGTGCATGACAGATAAGCACATTGCCCAGCAAACTCTTCACAAACACAACTGGGTCTTTCTATCCCCTTATCCATTTCTTTCTGTTACTTGTTCCTTCCCAAATCATCTACATCTCTCTCTTTCTTTGCCTTTGATTCCTCCCTAAGCATCCCATAAGAAGCCCTAAGCAATTCTGAAATGCTCTTCCCTTGCATCCTGTAACAAGTCCTATATCTGTAGGCTGCAACCTAAAGTTGCTGTGCTGTTGACTCATCTTGATAGGCTTCAAGTCTGCACCCTGGAGCTGAGGCTTCTCTGGGACAGCGCTGGGAGGGGCTTGGACAGGTTTTCCTTTATTCTGAGTTCCTATCTGAGCGTTCTTTCTTGTCTGCCATTGTGTCCCTGTGTGCCTTTGGACTTGTGGAAATAGGCTGTTGATGGGCTTTTGAGACAGGTGTGGGAGGAGCCAAGGCAGGGTGTTTGCTGGGCTACCCCCATGGCACTGACTCTCTGCACTCCTTTCTGTGTGTGAAGACAAGTTTCTGTCACAGCTGATGTCTTTCTCAACCTGGTTATGGAGGTTTTAAACCTACAAAAGAATTTGTAGGTTTAAAATAATCTGTCTCTTTGGAGACAAAGTGGAAACTTTGCCTCTCTGGTCCAGTAACTATATTGTTTCATATGTAATGCATAGACATTTCAGGGATCAGAATCTGCAGGTTTCCCCTTCCCCAGGTGAATGATTTAACCAGTATGCTACAGCTGCCAGCTTTCTCTTAGTCCCACTCCCTTTGACCTAGTGAATCTTTGAATCTTGGGTTTCTTTTTTTTAACAGTGCCACAACTGCAAAAGGACTTCAGGGTGCCTTACACCTCAGCTATGTGCTTAAGGATGTAACTTAGATCAACTAGGAGTCAGGAGGCCTTTTTACAAAAGGTAAGCCATATCACCCTGTCTTTGCAGGGCTTTGCTGAGTGTTAGACCCATTGTGAATGTCCTGGACCAGGCCTCAGACGTGGTATCAGCATCTTTTCTCCAGGTTTCACAGGGAACTCTAGTGAGAGCTGATACGCTTCTGTCTGCTCTCCAGAAACAGAAGGATTTGTGCTGGGAGCTGCAGTGCAGCAGGTCATGGAGTTGTAGGATGCATGGGACTTGCTGGGTGAGTGCTGTGACCCTGCTGAGCACCACCTTCCAGAACCACTGAGGCTGATACAAGCCCCAGGGTAATCAGCTGCCCAGGTGTGGTACAGCTGCATCCCCTCTATGCCATAAATTTCAAATATCCTTAAAGCCATGCCTCCAGGGAAACCATCACATTGTTCCAGTATCCTGGACAAATACTGGGAAATCCTTAATATCTGATAAGAGAAGGAACTGGCTTCGACAACCCAAATATATGTAAGCCTTGGCTTGAGTGTTTGTTAGACATCTGTGTGCTCAGTACTATCTGGGTATGCAGAGAAGGAGAACTGTAAGCGTGTACTTTGACAGTACATGTGTGCTTTCATTCTCAAACTGCTTCTCAGTGAGGGTTTTTTTTAGATTGCAGTTCTAAATGTTAGGTACCAAAATTTTTCCAAAGTCTTGTTTTAGATCTGGCCCCAAGTAGGATGCCCTGAGTAATTACAGACCTGTCAGAGTGACAGGGATCCCAGGCAAAAGAATGGAACCGCTGACACAGGAGTTGCTTCAATAATGAATTAAAGAAAAGTAACGTAATTAATGCCAATCAACGTGGGTTTGCAGCAAATAGATTCTGTCACATTGGTCTGTAATTGCATCAAAAAGATATTAAGCATGGTTACTAAAGGTAATGCATTCAGACACGTGAGGCATGTGACTTGACCATACAGCATTGAATCAAGGATACAGATTTATGATACAGAGACCATCCAGTCTCCAGATAATGCATTAGCTTAGGATGTCTCAAAATGTAATTTTAAATGAGGAATTGCAATCACACTTTTTCACGAGATCTTTCTTAGGTCATTTCTTGGCTGCATACTACTAAATGTTTGTTGGTACCTTTGAAGGAAACATACAGTCATCACAGTTACTTGCAAATAATACAAAGATTGAGGGAATACTGAATAATGTAGGTGATAGAGTGGGATCCCCACCAAAGAGGAGATCCCTATGTGATGCTGTGTCAAGAGGACTAACAGCATGATCCTTGGAAGGAGAAACAAAGAAATATTAAGCAGGGATGATGATGCTGTAGTACTTCTGCTTTCATCCTTTTAGCAACTGAGCCTGAGATGGTCTCTCTATTTCTGGTGTTAGCTCAAGAATATAGAAAAATAACAGTCTGTTGAACTTCCAGAGAGGATGTTAAGGGTGCTTTGATCATAGTCTGTCATTACCTCTGTTCAGAAATTGCCTTAAGAGTGCCCTGTCTTTGAGCTTGGCAGTACTAGAAGGTGGAGTTAGATGAAATTAGGGGCAGGGTGAGGTCCCTTCCATCCCAAAGTAATTTGTGATTCTTTTCGTAACAAAACAGGGTGCAGTTCAAACTACATGGATGTAGCGTGGCAAAGTGATGTGGCCTGTTTTATTAAAAAAGCTGGATTAGACAGTCACAGCAGTCTGGGTTATGAACTCCAGGTCCCTGAAGGTATTTTTGCTGCCCGCGGTTTCTCTACAGCCAAAACCTTAGAGGGTTTAACAACTTGTTATCTCCTTGGTTATCTGTAGATTCGCAAGCAGAGTTTTCTTATTCCTATACTGTGTATTTTTGCTTATAGTGACACACAGGATTGTGAGCTGGGATGATTCACTTGTGATCGTGGTGTGCCTATATAATAACTTCACAAAACATTATTGCTGACATGTCCTTAGTGTTTGACTTAAATGAAAATTTCAGGTTCCCCCTGAAGTGTAGGAAAGTTATGCTGTGATTTTTGGTATCTAAAAAAAGGATCAGGAGCAACACAGGAAATTTAGACAGAGAAGTAAATACTATAGAAAGATGCTGTTCTCTTGGTTTCTTTCTAATGCTGAATTTGTATTACAGAACTGAAGGCTCATTGCAATGAGAAAGTCAAATTTCTCCATTAAATATTCTAAACACTTCGTGGTACAAACACCATGGTTAAAAACAAAAGCAGTTTGTATATCCATATCCCTCACTCCTGACGTTAACGGGAAGTAAAAGCTCTGTATTACTGTGCTATCAAATGTGGCAAGGCAGCTCGAAAAAAACCCAGCATATCCAGAGTGCATATATTTCAGTGATGTCTTGCTGTGAAGCTATCAACGATTAAAAAGAGATTCCAGTGTGACAAAGCAAACGAGGAAAAGTTTTAGTTAGTAGCTATGCTGAAGAGACTCACTAAACGCTGTGAATTGATGGTGTGTCACCTAATAACTTCTGTAGCGTGCTGGTCTCAGTACTAAATCAAGAAAAGCAGTGTCTACTGGCTGAATGTAGTATGACATCCCAGAAAGCTGCTGAAATCGCTGTTTCTATGGAAATTTCTACAGGGGAAATCCAGGGGGCTGAATGGCAAGAAAATCTTCATGCAGCACAGTGGGTTTTCAGGGATGTTTCCGAGATGGGTCATTCTGAGTGAGGTGCTGGGGTAAATCATTCCACGTGCTGGTAATTTAAAAAGCTGACTCTGCTTATCAACAGAGGAAATGACCACAAAAGACTGGTATTGGAAGATGAAAGGAGGGAGGGAGGAATGAAGTACTTGGCAAAGAGAGAAAAAAGCCAGCAGCTGCTACAGCGTGAATAAAAAAGTGAGTTTGTTTGTTTCCCTATTGTTCAACCGAATTTGTTCCCGATCCCATTGCTTAGAGAACTCCTTCGGGTGGAATCACAGTGTAAGTGATGTCAAACAGTGTTGAGGTGTGGTATTCTTCAGGTTCAATCTGGGGCTAAATTATGCAGGACAAGCAGGGAGAAGTTACTGAGGGAGCTGAAGGTTTAAGTCTACCGGTATGTTGTTTTTCAAGGGACAGAGAATCCCTGCTGGGCCGTGGCTCGAAGCCATCTGGCTAATTGCATAGGAATTTCCCCACCGTTTGAGGGTGAACTGGGGCTAACTGCAGTCATACAGCCTTCTGTCTCCAAGACCCGGCTAAAAGGAAAGACAACATCCCAACATTAACTATTAAGCCAGCTCAGATGTTGCAATACTCAGATCAAAGGTCTACAGAGATCTGGAACATCTATTCCGGGCTTGGGCATCCATCACACGTGGATGTATACAAATGACAGCTCACATTAAATGAAAAAGGACCGTACAGTGAGTTTATGAGAATTTCAAAGCAGATATAAATCCAACGTTACATGCAAAACAATGGTGCTTCCGTGTATTGAAAATCTTTCCTTCCTTTGTCGTGAGTCAAAAGTTTAGCACAACTGATGTATGCCAAACTTATTTGCAAAAGCTGGAGGGCATTAAAAAAAAAAAAAACAACAAAACAGCAAAAAACCCCCTAGGAGTAGCTAACAATAGTGACGCATAAGGGATTGTACTGCTCCCAGTGTTAAACAGATGAGATAATATCAACATCAACATTGTCTCAGGAAACTCTGGATCAGACTCCCGGCCAATTAAGTCACAAAAAGGCAACGAATCAGGATTTTGAGGGTTATCAGGAAAAATGGCTAAGGGAGGGAGAGAAAAATAACGTTATATTCACATTTTAGGAGTCTTAATTCAGCCCATACAGACCTTCATGGATTGTATCCTACAGATATATAACAATGGCGAGGCAGGCCCTCAGCTGATGCAGGGTATCCACCTGAATTTTCTGGAACCACAGGTATTTCTGGAGGCTGAAGTGGCCCGAGAGTTTCTACTTTGTCTTCCACCTGCAAGTATGGACAAAGGCAGTGGGGTGTCAAATTTCTGTGTGCTAAAGGAGAACACTGTGGGCTGTTGCACATATACATGATTTAGTGTTAACAGAGGCTTACTTCTTAATAGTGACTTTTAGCTAGTACTGCAAAACAGTTAAATTCATAAGGTATCAGGTCAGAGGAACATCAGTGTATTTTTTTGGGTGTGTATTTTGGTATTTATGGGTGTGTATTTTTTTTTTAATGCAATGTTGAATAAAAATAAGCTTCCATGTGAAAAATATTTTTCAATAACATTGAATAGCTCTGAATAAAACACTTAAAAACAGATTGGCTGCCTAGGGATTGTCTCCTTGCTTAATTCTACTTTAACTATGCTAACAGAGGGACTACATCTGTTTAAAAACAGCCAAGGATGTTTCAACACACCTTTTATCACAGCAAACATGCTTTTTCACTCAGAAATTATTGATCTTCTTCCATTCACACTTGTTAAAATAAGCTTATCTTGCCTGTAGAGAAGTTCAGTCTGAAAGGCAAAATGATGAGGGATCTACAAGCACCTGGAAAATACCTGCTAGAAAGAAAATAGCTTGTACAGTTTTACTGCGGGCACCCCTGTGCACTCTTTTAGCAGTGCTTTGCGTTAGGAAAATCAGAATTGTTCGTGTTCTTTGGCAGATTCCAGATGAGATGAAGACTACTCCCATCTCCCATGTGTATCGCTGATATCTGCATCATCCCAGCTCTGGTTACAAAGACCAGCCAAGCCCCTGCAAGAAAAATGCCTGAGGGTTAACAACAAATGTGCAAAGGGGAGCTGTGCTGGATGCTGTGAGTGGTGAGTGCCATGTTGGAAGGTGCCGAGCCACCAAAGGAAGCATGATGCTATTTTAGCCAGCTCTAGGCCTATGAATAATTCCACTGACTTATTAAGTTTTCACAGAAACTGTAAAAGTTTTAAGTACAGTGAGTGTGTATCCATGTGGCTTCACTGTGGCCAGGACCATTTAATTTCCAAGCAACGTCCATATTCTAAAATGTCATTTTTAGCTGTATATCTAGTTGGCTGTCCCCTTCCTCACAAAAAAAATTCCATCCCCTCCCAGTATCACGTTTGCACAACAACTTAACACCCCAAACTCAGCTGCCCGTTGCTAACAGTCAGAACACCTCTTCCTCATCTAAAATTATATTCCATCTAAAATTATATCCCTTCTTCATCTAAAAATTACAGTAATTAGTTGCAGTGCCCATGCTGGAAGTGGAAACCCCGGGGAAATTTCGAACAGGAACCGTCTACGCTTATTTCCCAAGGTACACGTTAAGGTTAATTTGGGGAGGACAGACGATCGGCGGGGACATTTTTAAGCGCTTACTAGAAGTTGTAAGAACCCCGCTAAGAAGCGGAGGGATGCCGGGGGGGGGATGAAGGATTTGCGGAGGAACGTGCCGGGGTGCCCGTAGGCTGAGGAGCGGCACCTGGCAACCGAAACGCGCCTTCGCCGGAGGGAGGGAGGCAGGGAAGCAGTTTCGGGAAGCCGTTTCGGGAAGCCGCATCCCCCTCCCGCGCCCGGACAGCCGCGGGGGCGGCCGCGGGCACCGGCGGCGGGGGAGGAGCGGAGCAGGAGCAGGAGCGGAGCCACACGGCGCGGCCGCTCCGCCAGCCCGGCCGGCGCTGCGGGGAGGTGGCTGCCCGAGCGGGGCCGCCTCTCCCGCCCTCCCTCCCGCCCCGCGCCGCCTGGACCACTGGGAAAGATGGATGGGCACGTCCTGGGATGGATCGTCCTGCTGTGGCTCGCAGGTAGGGCCACGGGCGCCCCGGCGGCCCCGACGTGCCCGTGCCGTGCCCAGCCCGCCGGGCTCCGCGGCTCTCTTTAGGGAGAAAATGGGGGGGGTTGGGGAGATGCTGCGGGAGGGCAGCGGCGGAGGGAGCCGGCGTGGGGTGAGGGCTGCTGCGGGGCGTCCCGCGGTGCAGTTTGCGGAGACTTCGCGGAGAGGGGCTGGGGAAGGGGGGGAAAGCGGCGCCTCCTGCCCGCCCGGGGCCCCCGGGGGCAGGTCCGAGGGGTCCCCGGGGGCAGGTCCGAGGGGTCCCCGGGGGCAGGTCCGAGGGGGCCCCGGGGGCAGGTCCGAGGGGGCCCCGGGGGCAGGTCCGAGGGGGCCCCGGGGGCTTCGCTCCGCGTGGCCCGCGGGGCGCTGGGGCCGCTTGTTCGCCGCGGGGCCGGCGGGCGGGAAGCCGGCGGGGAAGGTGGGAGCCGGCCCGGGAAGGCAGCTGGAAAGCGGGGGAGCTGGAGTGTCCTTGGCCGCGGTGCGGGAGGGATGGCGACAAACCCTCGGCTCCCCCTCGCCCGCCCGTGCCAGGTCGGGAACAATCGCGGGAACTTCTCCTTTACCCGGTGTCCTGACCGCACACGCCGTCCTAACAGAGGTGTGAGAGGAGGGGGCTGCCCTGCCTCTGCCCCGGCCTCCAGGGGGGCCTTCCCAGTGACGGTGCAGTTGTGCCCAGGCCTTTGTGACCGCAGGAGGGGATTGCCTCCCCCCCCAGCCCAGCTCGCCCACCACCTCTTGCCCGTCGGGCGAGCCCTCCCTCCCTAAGCCAGGGGGAGGGGAGCCGGAGAGGAGAGCGGAGAGGGGGAGAGGGCAGGGGGAACAAGCTGAAAAGGGGCTGGGTCTGAGAGCTGGACAACGAGGAAAAGAGAAGGATTAAAACAGAATGAGAACGGAGGGGCAGCCGGGAATCAGAGAGGAAAGAGGGAGCCCTCTCTGAGGGACTAGATCTGGCTCCTGTGAGCCGGTGCAGCAGCCAGGCACAGGCAGGAGCAGCAGGCTTTAGGAAAAGCTGCAGCAGGATGACTTAGCCAGGCAGGCTGGTTACAGGCTGAAAGAAACAGACACACTTGGTTTAAGTGGCACATATTTCCCACCGCCATCGATGTATCCCACAAAGAAGACCTCAGCCTCTTCCCTCTTCCTATTCAGATTTAGGATTCACAAGCAGTAAATTCGGCTTTTAGTCATAACACTTCTCTCCTACTACCCACCCACCCCTTTCCTTGCTTTTTCGCTCTGAGTCATCTTCAACACCGGTGCCTGCCTACTGCTCCCTTCCACGGTTTCACGGCTTCATCTGGGGCTTCAGCAGCTTCCAGCTCATCCTCCCTCCCTCCCTGCCATTTGGCTGCTTCCAAATGTATCCTGCCTCACCGAGTTGGTCTGGAGTGCCAGCGCACCCACAACTACCGCTCCTTTCCCACTAGCTATAGTAATGAGCTGATAAAACAGCATCCAGGGACTGGGAAAGGAGTACGGGGTGCAGATAAACGTGACATTACATTCCTCCCTCTTTTTAAAGAGCTCCTTTATCTGGACATGTGCGGATAGATCAGGACTTTTTCCATCAGGCTAAAAGACTGGGCTGCTGACACTTTCCTCCCTCCACCGAAGGTAGTTCAGGATTCCTGGCAGCGACCGCTGTTCGGAGCATGCAGGGTCAATGCAGAGAGAGAGAGAGGTGCCGCAGTAGCAGGAAGACCTTCCCGTTTCCTCTAGCCCCGGGGTTTTGAGGCAGGACTGCGAGCTGCTGGTGCTAGTCGAGAGCCAGTGGGCACAGGCTTCCGGAGGCAACAGGTTATCCACAGCTGCGTGCTGAGAGATGGAGGCAGCCGGAGCCCGCCCGCTCCCCTCCAGCCTCTGGCCGCTGCTGCCCAGCAATAAATCAGGTGCTGCTGTCCTTTTTCATGGCCGAGAGAAAGCAAATAAGCCAAGGTGTGTGACTGTGAGCGTGTGTGTGCACAGAAAGGGAGGAGAGGCTAGCAAACATGGATTCAAGATTTTCCTCTCCCCAGTGGCTGTGCGAAGGAATGAAAGGTCTGCATCAAGGTAAGGAGCCCTAATCCAGCCTGAGTGGTGCACTCTGCTCTCTGAAAGAGAAGTGGGGGCTGGGAGGTGGAGGGGCCAGGGTAGGAGGCAGAGTGCAAGATGGGGGGGAGGAAGCAGGGAGACAAAAGGGAGCACGAAAGAGAAGGCTCTCGTCCCCTTCTCTCCCCTCCTCCCTCCTCGAGGTGGGCTGAGAAATTTCTAATCAGCACTCGCAGTTCCTTTCCTCCCAGCAGTAATTCCTCTCTGTCCTTTGTTTGTCTTTAATTTTTGGCTCTTGCATTTATCTTTTGTTTGGTTTTGCGCATTGTGAGTTCTTACTGCAATTTCAAAAAATCCTGTGTGAGGTACAAAGGGTTTGGTTTGGCTTCTCCTCCTATCCTGCTCTCCCACGTTTCTAAAGCTAGTGTTTTAATAACAACAGCAAATGGATGAAGAACAGGTCATCCTTTATTCCTTCCTGTGAGGTCACACAGGTTAAGATATGTGTGGGACTGTGTTCTCATTCTATAGAAAGAAGATACAATTTGCCAAGTATTCTTAAGTCACTGTGTAAAGCTGGTTTTTGTAAACTACCAAGTGCAGCTTGATTCTGGAATGAATCCTTTCCTTGTGCTTACCATTATTCTTAATAGTGCTGTAATTTGTAATGCAATTAAAACTAGAGAGAAGTGTTGTACTGGAGGCTGAGCTCCGGTTTTATGCACAGAACAAGCAGAGCAATATTTTTCTGCCTCACAACTTGGACTAAGCTTGGAAAGATTACAATTAGAAGACTGCCCATGTTGAAATGGGGTCTTTTCTCCCTCCTAAGTAATTTTTTACCACTAATTTAGGGCTTGGTCCCTGTTTATTCTCCCTATGCAGAAGAGCCACTGCAGTGCAATAGTGTAGTAGAGAGGTGGGTGTATTTACTACCTCAGCTTCCCCAGCCACAGTTCAGGAGAGCAGGCTGAGGGGGGCATGCTGGAGCACAGCTGTGCTTTGCTGTCTCCTGGCCAACTGAGCACGCTTCTTGGGAAGGCAGGGAAATGGATGGACTGTCTCATCTGTCTTGACACAAAATGTTCATCTGACTTCCCTTGCCTGGCTTCACAGAGCATACGTGCAGCATAACTGGGAAGAAATCTCACATTTTTTCTTACTTTCTAGTCCTGCGAGGTCACCTTGAGTGGGACTGGCACCGGTGGAAATCCCAGTGCTATCCCAAGGACAGGTGTTAATGCTTGGTGTTATAAAGCTCGGAGAGACTCTTCCCATTTATTTTCCTTTGTTCTCAGGTGTGGTGGTGATCAGTTGCTGAGTGATAGTTCTGAGCATGAATTCTAGGATGCTGAACCAATACTGTAAATCATGAGGCATCTGACAATCGTAACAACTTTCAGACAGTAATAAGACAGGGTGGATTTGATCTGGTGGCCAGAGCTGAGATAATTTGCCTGAGAACGTCTGGGGTGACTTTTGTCAATATGTGAAAGGGGCAGGTCGTAAGGGAGTGTAAGGAGCATGGGGAAAGTGATGAAGAGAGACCAAAGTCAGGAGCACAGGGTACCTGGGAACAGCACCACAGAGAATGGGGAAGAGCATGGAATAGTCCAGTCTGTTTGCACAGCCTGGGCTGTCCTACATGGATTGTTTTTTCTTTTATTGAGGTACTGTGCTGGGTGTGCAAGGCCATGCTTTTCTGCAGCTGCTGTGGGCTTTCCCCTTTCCAGGTTAAACAGTCAGAGGGCTGAAATTCTTGGTTTTGCTATGGAGCTGCAAAAAATCAGATCCATGCTTTCACCTCAGTTGCACCTGACCTGTTCAGGAGTTGGTTTCTTGCTTCTGAAAAAGCTGACAGTTAGTGGTCACGTAGCTAAGAACATAAGTCTGATAGGAACCAGACCAAGCCATCCAATTCATTTCCCAAAAGGCACTCAACACAATCTGATGGTGATGGCTTTTGCTGATAAATTGCATGGATTGGATTTAGTCCAGCATGAGTAGGCAAGAATCTACAACACAATCCTAGTGATCCCACTGGCTCTCCATTCATCAGTTTACACATCTGTTTATCATCTCTAACTTTCCGACCTCAAAGTCCAGGTCTTGCACTTCCTGATTCAGGATTGATCCACATTTGAGAGTGGATGGTGTGCCAGTATTCAGCAGAGGGGGAAAGGACACTTCTAAATGATGCATAGTAGCCAAGGTGCAATAAACAAAGATCCTTTTGCCCAACAGTTTATTTTGTTCAGAGAGGTGTTATAAACTATGCCCTAAGGGCACTGTCTCTTACCAATGAGTGTATGCTTTTCTGCTGAGGCCCTTAGGTATAGTCTGGGAGTAGTTTTCCTGAGGTGCCTGTTTCAGGGCCCAACTGCGTGCAACAACTTCTGTCAATAAAGGTGTGTAAAACTGGGAGGATGTAATTTTTGTAGCTTTATAGCATCAGCTGTGCTACCTCGGGCAAGTGGTGGTGTGAGCCAAATAATAGCCAAGAAAGAGATGAGATGCATGCACAGGTAGGGAGACTCATGCTGACCTGAAGAATAATGTGTCCTGCCTTCTCTTGGACTCAAATCTTGTGTGCCAGAAGGATGCAGCCTGAGACCCATTAGGCTGAACTACACTGTGTGGCTTTGCCATTACAGGGATTGGTGCTTTAGATCAATTTTATTCTGACTAGATGATCTTTGAGGTCCCCCCCAACCCAAACCATTCTGTGATTCTATTATTAGAGGCTAGCTTAAGGCTGTGTGGTGGAAGTAAATCTTCCTGGGATTCATTTCACCTCAGGGAGGCATAGACTTCTCTGGAGGGCAAGGGCAAAGCAAAAGGCTCAGTTATCACCCCTCAATTGCTTTCCCTCTTTTGCTCAAGGAAGGCGCTTATGGAGATCAGACTCACAAGGCTCAAAGGCGCCCTTACAAATATCCCCTCTGTAATCACTTCCTGGAATTTGCTTTAATCACCAGTGAAATGTATTAGTGATAGCTTGTGTGTAGTGTTGATTGCATAGTTTGAATGCATAATCTGGGGATAGTTTAGGAAAAGAAACAGAGAGAGGAGAGGAATGCACATTGCCAATTGAAGCAGACAGACCCCATACAATCATATTTCTGAAGTGTGATTATTTTTAAGCTTTTTCTCTGGGACTGTGTATATACACATGTACAGGCACACGAAACCATGGATTCTTTTTATTTTCTAAGACTGAGGATATCTGTTTTTTTAAGGTGCACTTGATTAATATTTTCAGACCTTTTTCTGAGGGTTTATGAGAACAAGAAGGATGGAAAGCAAAATGGTTAGAGTACTCCCACGAGCTAGATTTTTTTTTCTTGTGAAACTTCAAACGTTGTGAAATTCACAATGAACAGGTTGCTTCTCTGGAGTGCAGGAATTGCACTTCTATGATGATTTTGAAGTAAAGGCTAATCTTGCTCTGTCTGCATTAATCAAAACATAGCACAACACAACTCAGTTTCTTTTTAGTCCTACTTATATTGAACTAGACAAAGCTATTGTGGTGCTGTCACTCGGCTTGTCATTTTTTTTCACGTATTTCAAGTTTTTTCTCTGCTACATTAACAACCCAGAGTTCTGCCCTGTGATACATCTGAGGCTTTTCTTATCTTGGCTAGTCTCTTGAAGTTTTTTGAGGTCACGGTTTCTTCTTGAAGGTGAGGAGGTCCTAAGCAGACCACTGTAATTCCTGTGCATGGACATAACTGATCCGTGTAAAAGCTACCATCTTGTCTTCAGGCTGTCAGACATCCTGTTGGCCTTTTTGATGGACACTGTTACAGCAGTGACGTGCTACATGAATCAATTCCAGCCTTTTTTTTTTTTTTTTGGCAGAGGAAATAACAGGTGTATAATTTCCCAGTTCAGCCATATATAATTATATATAATTTGACTTAAATAGATCTAAAGTTTCCACTGCTCCAGTCTCTCAGTCTGAGGCGCTGTGTTGCTCTTAAATGCTATTCCTGGAAAGAATCCGAAAATAATATTTCAGAAGTTAATAAAGAGCTTGGGATAGGATATAGAAAATGCCAGATAATTTTCTGCACATCTCCAAAAAGTTAGAAAAAGAATAATCTAGAAAAAAAATTCCTATGTGTTCCCAAAAACTGTGTTTCTTTTCTTGATATAGACATTCACATGGGGGTATGGGGGGGAAAGTTAGTCAGATGAGAATTTGCTAAAGCTCAGCTAATCATTTATTAAAGCAGTCCCTGGCTTGCCAAACTCATTAATCTCATTAACAGGGAAGGAGGGCTACAGTGCATGGTTAGCTGAAAGCACAGTGTTTACTAAGCAGAGTACTTGGTTCACAAGGGAAAGATTTAAATATTCAGTGTGTCACTGTTTTATCCCTGAAGCTGAGGTAACGTGATGAGTCACTTGATCGGCTCATGTCACATGCTGGCTTTGGCCTCAGACTGTGAGCCGTCAGGCACAGAGTTGCCAGACACAAGTCTGACCTGGACCCATTTGTTTTTCAAGGTGTTTGTCATGTCTTTTGCATCCAGATGCAACCCAGAAAGCACAAATCTCTGGAGAGGAGAGAATAAGACATCGCCGCTCGGTTCACCTTGAGAAGCAAGTGCTGTCCTTCCCTTAGTGCCGCACGGCCCCTGTGGCCCCTTCGTTTGGTCGCTGGGAAAAGGAGGCCTGGCAGAAACGTCCCAGTGGCTGCTTCCTGAATTGTCTCTTTGCCTCTGCCTTGGGAAAGTACAGGAATGGCCTCACGGCCCTGCCCCTCCTGTGGGAGACCTCAGCTGTGTTTGGTGGTGCTCTGGAGATCACCCACACTTCGGCGTCTGGATTTGTGTCCAAGCGCTTCTGTCAGGACTAATATCTCTTGTGCAGCTTCCATGTGGCACAAGCATTATATCCATGATGTCATGCATTTGTTTTATGCATAATATGGCATGCATGTGCAAATGCCACAGCACCCCTGTGCACTTCAGGCCTTCACACAGTAGTCCCCAGCGTCAAGTCCTGCCTAGATCAGTAACTCTTTTTTTAGTGTCAGGGACCATCTTGCCTGTCTGAAATAAGCTTTCCCCTAGGCTCTGTCCATGCAGTCTTTTTATCCTCTGAGTGGTATTTGTAGGCTTGGTTGTGATTAGTAGTTTGGACATAGATAACATGTTGAATTTAATATTCACTGTTGTTCCAACCTCTTCACTTTCCTTTGGTTCTGAATCCTGGTTGTGCAATCTCTCCTTGCTTTTGCTTTTCAGGTCTGCAGCTGTCTCCAACTCGACCTTGTCTCTTCATGCCTGCTGTTGTCATACTGTTGATGCGTTTATTGCTCTCTGTCTGCTTCAAGCTCCAGTGCTTTAGTCTATGCCTTTTTTCCCCCATTCTAAAGATACCTCCTGTCATTTCATTTTCTTTGGCCAGCTTCCATCTCCTTTTCATCTCCACTTTCTGGAGTGGGTGGGTTATTTTTGCTGACTCCTTTTCCTCTCTTCTCTGCATCGTTTCTTAATCTCCTGCAACTCCAGTCCTTTGAAATTATTTTGACCTGGGCTGAGACACCTTCTTCAGTTTCTTCCAGCTGAACGTAAGCTTCCATGATCGTCATCCTGCTTATCCTTCTGCTTCCTATACTTACCCTGATACTCTATCCTTACTCTGTCTGTTTTCTTCTTTCTTGGCGTTTTCCCTTCTCTTCTGCTGCTTCCTGACATCAGGAAACCTTTATTCGTCCTCAGTCTTTTGTTCCTCCCTAAGCTTCCCTAAGTCCATCAGTCCATTCTCCAGATGTTGTGTAAACTTTCTCTTCTGCTCTATTCTCTTGAATGTCTTTTGTGTCTTGTCCTCTTTTTCATCGTGCACTGCTCTGGGATGTGTGTAAACTGTGAGTAGGGAGTCATCACCAATATTTTCAATACTGACTCTGATTCCTTTTTCTCCAGTGTTGTGTAAGTGCTCTCAGGCATTGTTGCCTGCAGCACAAGGAGGGAAGCAGTGAAGGGCGTGCGGGGAAGGTTTTGGCCTTTCCCCTGTGGGTAGATGGAGTACCTCACTCTCCCAAGGGCTCTACTGACACTGCTCACTGACTCTCTCTTCTCCCTAAGCTACATAAGGATGTGGCAGCAGTCCCATGCGTCTTCTCTGGGGCCTTAATACATCAGAGCTCCAGGCTGCAGCTCTCCTGTCAGCTGGTAGATAAACATTACATATTGAGATCCCTCTCCTCCCTGGGAATGTGAAAAACTTGAGTGTTTGGGCCATTTTTCTCCACACCTCCCACATGGAGCAATTTCTCTCAGCGCTACTTGCCAGCCCTGGGATGAGCTGTCTGATTTGGATCCACTCCTTCATGCATCTCTAGAGGTTGGCAGAGCAAGCAGCACTAACTGGGCACCAGTGCACAACAGGCTGGGCCAGGCGCTGTGTGTTGCTTGGCTTACAAAGAGGAAGTGGGATGCCACTGAAATTGGGAGGAGGGGGACTTATTCTGCAGTAGGGTTGTTATGAACTTGGGATCTGACCCCTTGGCTGACCTGCTGTAGAAGTGCAGCATGGCCATCCCTAAAATACCTCTTCCTTATCTGTGAACCTGCCACAGAAGCTGTGAATCATCACACCACTGTGTTAGGGCCTGTGCAGCATAAGGGTGCTACATCTGAGCCTTCAGCCCCATCATGGTGTATTTTTATTTGTGGCTGTAGGCTAGGAAAAAAGCAAACTTACTTCTGCTGCCAACATCCATCCTTACAGCATACATTGAGGAATATTGCACCCTAGCACCTGAAACAGAGGGACAGTTTTATGTGTGGGGGGAGAATGATGCTGTGATAAAATGCAGTAGGTCCCTCTTCAAGCAGTGCCAAGGCATATGATACTCATGTTTTTGTCTTTTAGCTGAGGTGGAAGGGTTGCAGGTCACTGTGCCTGAGAAGAAGAAGGTGGCCATGCTGTTTCAGCCTGCTCTGCTTCGCTGCCATTTCTCTACTTCTTCCACCCAACCAGCTGTGGTGCAGTGGAGGTACAAATCTTACTGCCAGGACCGGATGGGAGAAGCTTTGGGAATGGTGACCTCTGGGTTACAAACAATGAGCAAGAGGAACCTGGACTGGGATCCCTACCTGGACTGTGTGGACAGCAGAAGGACAGTCCGTGTCGTGGCCTCCAAACAGGGATCTGCCATCACTATAGGGGACTTCTATAAGGAAAGAGATGTCAGCATTGTCCACGGTAACTCTCCTACCCCAGTCATGCTTGGTGGGGGCTGGAATGGACCCTTAGCAATTTGGGATACTGGAGTCTGGCAGTAATTGTCTGGTTAACTCCCTTAGAAAGGGCTGTGGGATGGGATTGTATGTCAGACATTCAGGATTCAGCCAGCCAACCAACCCTAGACCCAAACATAATTTCCTTTGGCACTTCCTTTCATTTGTCTCCATGTAGGTCTCCAACCCAGATACAGAATTCTTTTTTTCCTTTCAGTGAAGTGGAATGTTTTCATTCCTGGCTTCTGCATATTGCTCTGTATATAGATTTTCCTTAACGAAGGAAATCTAGATTTCCAGCAAGAGAGATATGAATTCAGCCTCTGCAAGCTAGGTTTTTCTTCCTTACAAATCCCACTGATTTTTTTCCCAGTTCCAAAATCCTCAAATTATCCCACACCTTATGTTTGCTCAGCCCTGGACTTTAGCTATAATGAATCTAAAGCCACACAGCCTTGGGCAGTGAGAAGAGATTTCTGTGGGGCGAAGTCCTGTTGGGTGGAGAAGAGGGGTGTCAGGGTCCTGATACATTTTTTTCTGGAAGGCTGTGTGAGAAACCTTGTCCCTCCAAAGTAAAAGGTTTCTGCTTGGCTCAAGACACCTCCTCGCCAGAAGTGGAGACTCCTTGGAGTGGAGAGTGTGTGATCAGCCTCAGCAAGGAGGAGTGTTTTCCTTTGTCTCCCTGTAACCTCTGGCAGATGACTGAGGTGCTGTAGGGGAGACAATGTCTAAGCCCTTCTTTAATGATGTAAATATTTTGGGTCCCCAGGCCATGGAGGAGGATAGAAAATGACATTAGTTACCCCTTCTGCTCTTGGCACTTGCAGAGTTGCCTCTGCAGCATTATCTGTCTTCCCACCTGCAGCTCCAAGTCCCGAGCCTGTTGGTTTTTTTCCTGAATACTGTGATGTTCAGGATAAGATTAACCCCTCTTCTTAGTAAGGAAATAAAGTGGATTTGGGACACAGAGGTGGACACAGTGCATTCAATGCTTCATTCTTCCTTTAGGTGTTGGAGGGGAAGCTTGACTTTTCTTTTTTGCCTTCCAGATGCAGACCTGCAGATTGGGAAGTTGATGTGGGGAGACAGTGGGCTCTACTACTGCCTTATTATCACACCAGATGATGTGGAGGGCAAGAATGAAGAATCAGTGGAGCTGCTTGTGCTGGGTGAGCCCTCTTGTCAGATTGCTTTTTCTGCAGGTACCTGATGCACCTTTCCTTCTGCCCTCTCGCTCTCTCCACATATCTGTGCACCATATTACTATGGGGTGTAGGAGCTGTGTAAAACAGCACCTTCACCATTGCCTTGCACCTTGTGCAGTCATTCACACCTTGGCAAAGTGGGTGGCAAATGCTACCAAACCAGAATAGGAGTGTTTACACCCACACCGCTCACACGTTACACAGGCGTCAGTGACTGCAGAGAGTGCAGGGCTGTGGAAAGTCAGAACCCTTGTTTTTAAGGTGCAAAACAATAAACTTGCGGCAAAATGAACACTTGAGACGGAATCTTTTAAAAATAGACACCCAGAAGACAGCAAATCTTATGATTTTTGCTGTCTTTTTAACATTCCCTTCGTCTCGCTCTTCTGACCTGTGAGGATGTCAAGAAGTACTGTGTTAGGTGTGTCAGTTTGGGAGGTTATTTTGTCTGCCTAATGCTACTTGTCCAGTTAGAGGTGCAGTTTCATAGTCATCCCAGTCAGATCTGAGCTGGTGCTGCCACTGAAAGGAGCTATACCCTCTGTGTGGTCTGCATGCTTGGCTTAAGCTCCCCTGAGCAGTGTGGTGAGCAGTTTCTTTCCTATTTGCAGGGTTAGCTTTCAATGATGGCTTCCATGATCCAGCTCACTGTAAAGGTCAGAAAAGCACCCATCCCAGCTAGAGGAGAAAAGCAGAGTGGAATGGGCCTTTCAGGGACATTCATTGATGTGCCTTGAGCCAGCTGTAGTAGTTGAACCCTAAATGCCTCAGATGAGTTTTTCCCAACTCTCCTTAAGACCTGCTGATAGCAACATTTGTCTAGTCAGCATGGTTCTTGGGTGTACAGGTTCTGTACATCCTGGGAAGGAAATGTTAAAAAGCTTGGGCCAATAGTGTCTAGGTGATATGTGGAAGCATGATAGAACAAATCTGTCAAGTGCCCTTACCCTTCTGCCTAAGGCCAGAGTTTAATCGACATTTGTATTTGGAGCTGTAGTTATCATCACAAAGTAAACCAGGCTGAATGGGTGAGGCACTGTAACAGTACCACCACCTCTCCTCAGCCCTTCATAAGATGGTCAAGCAATGGACAATTGGAAGGTCAGAAGGTGGAAGGTCAGCCTGGTCCCTCCAGAAAAGTGTCATTTGCCTGTCCAAACCCACAGTGTGACTGTGTATCATATGCCAGTTAATAAGAGGCCCAGGACTGACCTGTGTGGGCTCAGGTGACATTATATCTGCCAGATGGCGATGGTAGCTGTTACATACCCTCTCCAGAGGACCTGTCTGGGGCTGTGTGGTGATGAGCTGCTGAATTTTTGTCCTTTCTCCACCTTCCTGTTCAGGATTTGGTGTCTTCCTCTTGTGTCTACAACTGTGCTCAGACACCAGTGACGAAACAGTGCCATGGTAACAGGAAGAATCTGGTTTTTGGTGTGTACAGAAGATTATGTGGGGAGAAAACATAGAAATCCCCTCCTCTGGAGCTGGCTTGGTGTCCCTGTTCCCAGTTTGTTGTGGTTATGTTGGGAGGAAACACGTAGCTTTGTGTTACCCTCGGCCACATCTGCTTTTCTGTTCAGCTTGTGGGTCTGACCTTGCGCTGTGTGCAGCACTCGTGCCAAGTTTGGCAGCAGCATGAAGCAGACTTGTTGTGGGCATACTTTGTTCTGCCTCATGCTGTTAGGCGCAGCTTGTGAATATTTCTTTTCCTGGGTAGCGTGTACGGAGGCAACATTCCAGCTTTTGGTGCAATTCCAGGGTTACTTCCCTCCCTGCCTCCCTCCCCCTTCCCACCTTGTCCTTTTCCTTCTGCCTTTGCCGTTACTTTTCCTTCTTTTTCCTTTATCTCTCCCCTTTGATGGCTAAATGATAAAGCAGCCAGCGGTGAAAATACCGTTTCTTAATACTCTGGCATCTTCTGGGGCATTTTTTATTCCATGCCACTGCTTGGAGGGAGACACTGGGTACAGATGTAGATTGGAGCAATTCTGCAGTCCTAGGAAACATGTAGTAAAAGGGTTTTGTTTGCTGTTTTTCTGGTTTCTGCTCTTTGGGTGGAACCCAGATTCCCTGTTAGGTTGGAGCAGTGGAGGGATGGTGTGTGAGAGACACTATGATTCCCACAGCACATTGCTGTTTGCTCCCTGCTGAGACTGGGCTTTCAGGTATAATTTACATTGCTTATTTTGGGGTTGCTGCATGATTTAAGCTTAAATTAGAATTTTGACTAGGGCATTGTCACGTTATCATTTGGGGTGATAGGAAAACCAGAACGTTTAAGTTAGAGAGAGATACTGGTGGACAGGGCAGTTTTACAGCATGTAGGAACCATGAAAGGTGTGAGAGGCAAAAATGGTAGATACCTAATAGCACTAATAAATTAATGGAAGTTTGTTTAGCCAAAAGTGGAGGGTCCTGCTTTTATACAGCGAATCACACCTTTAAAAATCAGTCAAAAGCTGCTTTATCACAAATTGGAGCAAAATCCAAAACCTGAGCAAGTTACAGCATTTCTTTTTTCTTAGGGAAGCAATCACTGAGACTACCAGTGAACTCTTAAGCCAGTCAGCCTGGGCCATGATGGGTTTTGTCACCTGGTTGTGTTGTGTTGGCACACAGAGCTGCTGGCCAGCTCTGGGTAGCATCAGAGAATCCCTTGTGCTGCCTTCATTTCAGGCCTATTTCAGAAGAGCATAAAAGCATTTATTTATATCCATTTGTGCTCAGCAAATGTGATAGGATCTGTAAAGCATACCTGATGTTAAGCATGTGCTTATTATGTGCTTTGCTGAGAAGACCAGTGTCTTTTTGCTTAGTCAGGGTCTTTACTCTCTCTGATGGAATCAGTGCAGGTGAGGGAAGAGGGAGAGTAACCTCTGCGCCTCAGAAACACAAGAGGAGATTGACCGGTAGTGAACTTCCTGTACAATAAGGGAAGAATTTAAATAAAATGTACTATTACACACTTATTATATATAAAATACATATTTTAGACCTTATTGCTCTCTAAAACTACCTGAAAGGAGGTTGTAGGAAGGTGGGGGTCAGTCTCTTCTCTCAGGCAACAAGTGACTGGACAAGAGGACGTGGCCTCAAGCTGTGCCTGGGGGGTTCAGGTTGGACATCAGAAGGAATTTCTTCACAGAAAGGGTTGTTAAACTTTGGAATGGGCTGCCCAGGGAGGTGGTGGAGTCACCATCCCTGAAGGTGTTGAAGTAAAGACTGGACGTGGCACTCAGTGCCATGGTCTGGTTGACCTGGTGGTGTTCGGTCACAGGTTGGACTTAACGATCTCAAGAGTTCTTTTCCAACCTAAATGATTCTGTGATTCTCTGATATATGTGTATTTTGATGGTGTTTGGAATCTCCAGATGGGGTGTAGTGTGCTGGAAGCTGTATGAGCTCTGCTTCTGCTGCAGCAGGACTGGACAGAGCTTAGCAATTCCACAGCGGGAGCCAAGTGATGCTCTCTGCACTCATGTGCTTTACTAGAAATGTAGAACCTTTGCTGACATTATAGCTGGGCTAGTGAATCCATTTGCAACTTTGTATGTTTTTATTTTTTAGAACTAATGCGATTGAATCTAAAAGGCTGAATGCAACAGCTTAAAAAGTACGTTTCTGTCATAGTAGCTATCAGCTAGTGTCCTGCTTCTTGAAACACAGTGCTATTAATCATGTTGTTATTTGTAGCCCCTGTGTACTGCTTTTTATATGAGAATGTCAGTGGGCTTCAGTGAAGTAATTCATTGCAGCCTTTCTGAAGGAACTGCACATGTACCAGTGCAGTGGGTGCAGGGTGCCTGCCTGCAGTACCCTTCACACTGGAAGTACAGGGCAGTGTCAGGGGATACCCCATTCTTCATGTGACCTTCTCACATCAGGAGGCTGTCCAGCTTAGTTGCATGGGATTGTGTACAACCCAGTAAGCCTTCCCAAGAGCCAGAATTTACTAACCAGGTGCAGGGTCCTGTGGGAGCTCCTTGCCAGGCTGGTGCAGCTGTAGAGCTGTGGCTGTGGGTACAGCTCAGCTCAGCTGGGTACCCTGAGATGTGTAGGTCTGTGCAGGCTCAGCAGTGTTTGCATTCTGAGAGTTTACGTAGCTTAGACATGCTTCATGAAACAGTGGCTTCATTTCCAAGGACCTGTCAAGTTCTTGGAAGAGGCAGGAAAGGGCTCCACTAATCCCAGTTGTTGGTTTGATACTTTGGGTAGTGATCCATATGCTTTGCTAGACAGCCATTGCCTGTGCTCTTTTCCCCTTCGTTTGGGCAGCAAATACTATATAAACTATGTATTAGTGAAATACTACTTTATAATTAATCACAGAATCATTAAGGTCGGAAAAAAACATCAAGTCCAACCTTTGACCAATCATCACCTTGTCAACCAAACTACATCAGCAACTGCCACATCCAGTCATTTCTTGAACACCTGCAGGGATGTTGACTCCACAGCTTCCCTGGGTGGCCTATTCTAATGCCTGACCATCCTTTCAGTGAATAAATTCTTCCTGATGTCCAACCTGAACCTCCTTTGGTGCAGTTTGAGGCCATTGCCTCTTGTCCTGTCACTAGTTGCCTGCGAGAAGAGGCTTCCTGTCTACAACCTCCTGTCAGGTAGTTGTAGAGAGTGGTAAGGTCACCTCTGAGCCTCCTTTTCTCCAGGCTGAACAGCCCCAGCTCTCTCAGCCCCTCCTTTTAACACTTGTGCTCCAGACCCTTCCCCAGGTCCGTTGTCCCTCTCTGGACATGCTCCAGCACCTCAGTGTCTTTCTTGTAGTGAGGGGCCCAGAAGTGAAAGTGAGTAACTCTGTTCCCCACCACTCTCTGGGCTGGACCGTCCAGCCAGTTCTTAACCCAGCAGAGAGTGCCCCTGTCCAAGCTGTGGGCTGCCAGCTTCTCTGGGAGGATGCTGTGAGAGACAGTATCAAAGGCTTTGCTGAAGTCCAGGTAGGGTAC